TTTGTTTTATTTGTTTTTTCTTATTTCCTAAAAAGTATTTCATTCAAGGATTAAAACTATTCAGTTTGGGGACTCACAACCAATTACATAATCATTGAAATGTCAAATCACAGTTTTGTTGTTGTTGGTGTTGTTGTTGTTGTTATTGCTGCTGCTGCTGCTGCTGCTGTTGCTGTTGTTGTTGTCTCCCTTGTTCATTTTGATGCTGTTATCTTTGTTCACGCATCTGCTACGGTTCATGCACTCGTTATATTCGTGTTAGTTATTGTTAACACACGTAACGCCCTTAGAATGACAGGGTTCTAACCCTATTTCTTGCGAGAACTGGGTTACAAAGTGCAAACTATTGACAAAGATGACCGGTACACTTTTTCCAAGGCAAGAGGCAATCCGACCGGTGTATTATTTTCAGTTTGACACTTACGAAACAATACCCAGTGCACACTGAATTCATTGAGTCAGGGCCAACAAGATTTTTCTCCAGTGAGGTGCAAAAGCTAATTTTTTAAAATCATAATTCGACCAAAATTCAACTAAATTCGATTGCTACCATGGAAACCAAACATGTCCGTTTTTCAAGGTCGTGAGTCGAATAGGTCCTTTAGTGCCAAAAATGGTAGCCCCCACCCTTTTCAATGAGGAAAACCTTCCTGGCCGCGACTCAATTCGACTGAATTCGATTGACGGTGTGCACTGGTATAGGCTGTAAAATCATTTCAGCGGAAAGACTACAAATCTTGGACTTCAATTTCCTACACACTAGGCGTCATGGAGTTATTGTGCGGTCAAAAATTCGTTGTGAGACTTATTTTCCAATATCTCCTTAACTATCGAACATGGGTTCTCCAATTTTTGCACAGCGACTAGTATCAATTTGTCTGAATAAATCAACGTTTTTGTAAACACTCGCAAACTGTATTCTAGAAAATTCTTTAATAAAATTGATAATAAAAAATCCAAGTCTGTGGTTTCTTCAGATGTTTAAATGTTTACAGCACGGGCAATAATGCTTTTAATAGCAAGTTCGTCAGGTTTTTTCTAATCGGGACATTATGCTTATGGAACGCATTTTTTGAGAACCATTAGTGCAAAAATGTGTTCACTATAACAATAATTTCTTGTAATAAGTTTTGCAAGTAAAAATTGTCATTGATGAGCTGTGACGTAGGCCATATGCGTAATCAAAATGTGTGTGAGAGGCTGGAAGTGCTGTGAACAAAACCATATTACGTGTGACAGAGATTTCAAGTATTTTCTATAAATTTATAAAGAAAAGTTTTTTTATCTAACCCCAATTGTTCTAGAAAAATATGATTATTTAAGACAAATCGATACAAACTGCTATGCAAAAGTATGGATGACATTGACTCTCCTGTTAAAGAGATATTTGAGGATAAGTTGCACCACGAATTTTTGACCGCTCTATAGAAGGGTACGATTTGTTGTTGCTGGCCTGTTGTTATTATTATTATTATTATTATTATTATTATTATTATCATCATCATCATCATTATTAATATTATTACTATTATCATTGTTGTTGTTATTTGTATTATTTTCATTATTATTATTATTATTATTATTTGTTTTTGTTTTTGCTTTGTTTGTTTGTTTTTATCATGCTAGTAGTTCCTGCTGTTTTATTGAGTCTCGTCTTTCGTTTCCCCAGCTGCCTACCATCCAAGGATGCCAGTGCATCACTCAGGAGGACGCTTATGGCCCTAGCATGGTCGTGGCCGATTAAAATGTAACGCCAAGGCTGCGTCCCAGGGTTCCCATCGAGGGCTCAGGAAAATGCAATCTTTCATATCAGCTTTCTTGGTTCTGAACTGATAATTAGAGAATAAAATATTACGATCATAATGTGGGTCATCCAGTTTTATCGTTGTTATTTTTTATGATACCTACCCTGTTGTGAAGGTCTTGGTACTTTGTAATTCTTGTAATAGTTGTGATCATGCTACTTGTGCCTTATTAGGAAGGTTTTATGATTTATTCTGTTACATACTAATAGCTGACAATTTTCTTTATGATGCCAATTTGTTTGTGGGGGGAGGGTGGGTGGTGGTATATGTCGCATTTTGCTCTGTCTGCTTGTGTTTGGGCTTTGACATCAGCAGAAAACGAAGGATACTCTGTGATAAAAATCAATTCTGAGAGATTTCTAGAGAAGCAAAGAATACCATGTATCCTGGTAAACAGTTATTTGTTGTTGGATTGGTTTAAATAACCTTTGTTCACTCTAGTTTGAGCAGCAATTATAGTTTGCTATAAGAATCCCCCAAACCACCGTCTGCTTTGTGATATGTGACGACTGATTTTATTTTCTGTGTTGAAGGCCCTTTCCTGGCGCTAAATCATAGATGGAACATAGATTTGACATTGTCTCGAAAAGAAATTCTCGCGCAATAGCTATTTTGTGGCTTTGGAGCTTTGTTATTGTCTTTGTCATTAGCAATTTCCCTGTCTTCCAAATAAAATGATATGGTTACATTAATAAAACAGTCATTAATGCATACGCTGTGTTTGGTTTTGTGAATAAAGCAGTGTCTGTCACAAACGAACGAATGAGTATGCAGCCATGATTGTGACTTGACTTTTTAAAACGCTACTTTGTTAATTTCTTTCTAAACTGTACGTCCTGGCTTGATTTGTAGGTTTTGTCGTTTTAAAAGTTTAAAAAGGAGCATGTTAATTCTTCGAATTAATATATATATATATATATATATATAATGCGCAACAGCAGACAAAACACTATGCTGTGGCACAATCCAACGATCATACATATTTAATGAGAAACATGTGTGTACAATTTGTGAGGCAGCGTAGTGGAATCAGGTCAGGCTCTCGTCAAAATAATGAAATAGAAGAAAACAGCAGTTTTCTCCCTGCTAAGCAATTTTTGTCAAATTTTTGTTTTTTGGCTCAACACCTTTTATGTCAATTTACAAACACACTCCTTCAAAGATTTCACCAAAGACATTGATTAAAGGCACAAAAATGTAAATTTACAGTTTCCATGGACTCTCCAGCTTTGGAATTTACCAACCTTTGGCGGCCATTTCCTCGCTAAATATTTTACCTATTAAATCAGGTGACCCCCACCACCTTCAATCCAAAATATCTCCACTTCTACTGAAGATACATTTGTCATTTTTTCATTGAAAGCAAGACAAATGAACAAGCTTTAAGATGATACCAATAGCTCAATATGCCCAAAAAATTTACGAGAGCCTGATTCCACCACGCTGCCTCACATTTGTCGTGTGCGTGTTGTTGTCTCTCCTTTTTAGGCTTCAGATAAAGAAAACAGGAATTTAAAAATATGAATACATTTTAAAAGGTTGTTCCATCCAGTACCTCGGGTTGTGCATAAACTGAGAAGAACTTATCCAACAACATTTGATTGATCGATCAAACGATCGACTGATCGTTTGATTGATTGATTGATTGATTGATTGATTGGTTGGCGATTGCTTGAATGATCGATCGATTGGTCGGTTGGTCGGTTGGTTGGTTGGTTGATTGATTTGTTGTAAATTCAAGACCCACCTAGAAATATTATAAACTTAGAGGCGAGGTGTTTTGACACTACCTTTCTGGAACAGCCGGGATTGACAAAATCCTTTCTCTGAGTAGAACTACAAACGTTTCCATGTTGGTCTCGGCTACATCTTTTTTCCTGAAATAGAGGAAACGAATGTAACGTTTTTATCATAGTCTATTTTTTAACGCAGTTCGCAAAGAAAAGTTTAATACTTTTAGCTGGGGGACGGCTTTCCTCACTTCTCCATTAAAGAGCCTCCAGGTCGACGCAAACATACCCATCACTATCACTCAGACATATACAACTCACACAACAATGTGCAATTAAACCGAGCTCAACATGAGAACCCAGCACACGACTGCATTTTTGGAATACACCCAAACACCATAAACAAAGTAAAAAAAACTCATAAAATCTAGCGGCATCAGAGTCCTTGGGGACTTCAAAAACACAGACTTTTCAAAACAAGACATTGAACAATTTCTTTTCCCCGACCTTCCTCCGTTGCACCTCACCAATGCAAACATAGACTTAGCGCTCACCACGCACAACAAAGCAAGCACAAACACCAACACATTTAAAGCAGCATACAAAACACCTATTAAAAGATACCCCGGTGCTGAGCTAATCTTTACAGATGGCTCTAAATCGGAATCAACTGTGAGCACCGCCGCATATCGGAGTACACTTCAGAGGAGACTCCATTCCGAAGCCCCCCCCCCCCCCCCCCATCCCCATTTTCTACGGGCGCTACTGCCAATGACATAGCATTGGACTCAGTACAAAATTCCCCCAAAACATCTTTCCTTACTCTGTTTGACTCTCTGTCTTGCATCATCTCACTCACAAATTACACACTCATACACCTAAAAATAGTTATGTTGCAATAAAAACTACACACTTGTACTGAAACCGGAAAAAGTATCGTGTTTGCATGGCTACCTAGCCATGTGGGCATCCAAGGAACCGAGCAGGTTGATCTCCTAGCAAAGGAAACGTTGTCCATTCTGTTATAATAAATGAAAAACACTCTCCCACAGACTAACTTTAAAAATAAAGTTTAAAAAAGCTACAGTCTGTGGGAGACACATTGGGGATAACAAATAAACAATAAACTTTACTACATCACGCTCAAACTGGGTACACGAAAACCTTCGGGCCTCTCCAGAAGAGACGAAGCCATTTTTACTCGATTGCGTATCGGACACCTCCCTGACACATGATAATACCTCCCTCAGAGGGATGAGAAACCGTTCTGTGTCGGATGTGGCACAGATTTCACCATTAGACAGACTGTACAGAGACCCGAAGGAAGTATTCTAAATAAGCAAAATTAAAAGACGTTTTCTCCGTCGTTGATTCCAACAGAATTTCTGATGTTATAAACCCCATTGGTCTTTACAATAAACTGTAAACACTGTTGTTTTGAATTTTTTAAATGATATTTTGAAACTGATATTGATATTTTTTCCACAAAATTTTAAGTTGTAATCGAAATTTTGACCAAAATCTAGCCGTGCTGGGAACTTGTGAATGCAACCACCATGTGTTTCGCGCGCTCATATGACCTAATGCAGTTGCGAACGCCGTAAAACTCTTACTAAACTAATTATACATTTGCCATGAATAAAGATTGAAAATAGAGAATCTCATCCAAAGCAGATGAATGAGCCTAAGTTTTTGTTCTTTGAGTCTGCCAAGCAAAGGCTGATTAATTAATAAATAATCCCCTCCCCTTTTAACTAGCTTCTAACTTACTTTGGAGATCGGGGAAGATGGACATGTATCATTGTCTCAAGTAACCCAAGATTCAAATAAATCTTTGAAATGGAGAAATGGTATGGATTTAACGCCCCTAACAACACTGTTGAGTTATTTAGAAGCGGGGCTTCCGAAATTAACGTCCGTCTCCGAAAGGACATAGCCAAATGGGAAATTCGTGTAAAGTGCCTTTCCCAAGGACAAGACGTTGGAGTTGGACAGAACTGAGGCTCGAACCCCCGAACCCGCAGTCTCATGACTACGGGTCCGTAGCATAACCTAGCCTAACCTCTAGAGAAATGGTCATGATTACGAATGGAGAAAACTTTACCGAGAAAGGTCAATCAGCCAAAGACTGTAAGATTATGGCCCGCAAGATGTTTTCACAACGTCTGTCAACTCTTACTTTTAAACTAAAAATATGTTTAAGGGCCAAATGCAGGACTTAAAATTTCACAACTGTATAAAACTGTCTCCGACCTTTAATTAAGATATAATTAATTGTTCCGGGGTGCTCAACATTGCTACAAAGAAAGCATTAATATTAGGCTCGTGTGCAGGCAACAAACACCCGATAAACAGACAAAAATGCTATAGGTAAAAGCGGCCCAGTTTAACACTCGGCAATAAGGCAAAGGCTATTAGATTATTGTTTTGAACTCTAAATAAAGGGGGGAAATTAAATAAGAACTTTATGGTTACGTTTACCTTCCACAGTTCAGGACAGCCGTAAGGTGCAGTCAAGCAATTATTGTTTTGCTGTAGGCAACGGGTTGAAAGAAATATGCTTTTCATTGCGTTTTATCTGGTAATTTCTCAGGGAAATTGACTTTACAGGTTTTTTGTTTTTTTAATGACGTATTGGATTCAATCTCAGCAATGGCATCCATTCACCCTACTGAGCTTTGTCTACAAATGCACAAGAGTAAATTCATGCTGCGACAGGCAGAATGTTGTCATATTCAAATGTAAAGTTTTGAGGAATCTTCTAAAAGAAAAGCTTTTCAAGTCGTTCCCCACTGTTAGAAATTTTGCGATAATTGCAAATTCTCTCTTCTCTCTCTCTCTCTCTCTCTCTCTCTCTCTCTCTCTCTCTCTCTCTCTCTC